TGGTCTTCATTGATTTGCTTTACATATGCGTATTGGCTGTGTGCCTCCTCCCTGTGGTAGCATGGCATCCGTTCTCATGCATTTTTCTTCAGAGGCTTTTGCCAGCCTTTTATATGAGAGTCAGACATTTTTGAGAGAAATTTCATATTGGTAATTTACTCCTCTATCTCTCTGGGGCTAACCATGCAGTCTGTGTCTTTCATCTTCCCTGCTTCTCCTCAAACTACCTTTTGCCTGACTTTTTGCTCTGCCTTTTGAGCGTTGGTATTGTGTCCCTATTTGCCTCCCTCTGAATATTTCCCTCATTGTGTCATCCTTAATGTCTTCTTCTCCATGTAAGCATCTTCGTGTGCTTCTCTCATCCCTAATGACAGGGTCTTCATGAAAACAGATCACAATGTCTTCGAAGACTCTAACATTTTTGACGGGGCCAAACCAATTACCTTTCCCATCACGAACAACTGACAGCTGGTGTGTATACTGGTGAAAACCTAGGACAGGAGGGTGACTATGAATCCATTTCAGATGAGGCAGATGAGTATAAGGAACATTTCCTTGTCAAAAATAATTAATCAAAGAGACAAGACTGGCCTGAGTGAAACCAAGAGCCAAAGGAATGTTCTATGCCGAGTAAAACGCATCTTATCAGAGTCATTCTACCTTTTCTCCTCGCCTTCTTGTTTGTTACTTTATTTTCCACTACAGCCCAATCTGTCTGCCTTTCTTCCTTTTTACAGATGATATCTCATCCCCCCCACCTCCTGCTTGAACTCTCCTTGGACTCGAAATGCTAATTCAGTCAGGCACTTAATCAGACACATTAATTTCATATCTCCGCTGATTGCACTAATTTCACTGTGCAAGGAGTTTCTCTGCGGCAACCCTCCAGTGCAGCAGAATTTTAAACTACCAATATCTGTAAAATAATATCTTTAAAACAAACAACACCATGCATTGACAACAAATATATGGAAAGACAACGGCGGGCAGTGTTGTATTAGGTTTTGGTGTGATACCAGCCATTTCAATTCCATCTGACTTGTAGCCATGTTTTATGTCATTCTGACAAGCAGTACATGAAGCCATTCTATGAAAATAAATAGACCTCATCTTGCACCAGTTTGCCAATTACAAATAAGAAAATTTGGCAACAATGTCCACTGCTACTGAATCACTTTGGCTAAGCGACACATTATCGCAGCATATTTGTCTGCATTTTAAGAAACTCTGGTTGTCAGTGGCAGTAATTATGGACAGTAAATTCATTATACAGTGCATACAGAGGCATTCCTGTACAAACACGCACATGCAGACACACATACAAGTGCACAGAGATAAACAGAATATGCCTGAAAAGCCTGTAAGCTCTCATATTGTCTACTGACAAATGGTGTACATAGCTGAGACGTGTATTAATTAAAATCATATTAAAGTACTGATTTAGCCGCATTCTAATTTAATTAAGTCACAGATCATGTAATTGAGAGAATTGCAAAATAGCATTCTTTGTTCCAGATAATTGTATTCAATCTTAATGCCTACTTTAAAGTCTTTTAATTTGTTTTATCTCATCACCATCGTCTCTGATAGTCTTTTTAATATACAAAATATGGCTTGGGATTCTCTGTGTGCATTGTCATCGTTGCCAAAGCAAACCTTTGAAATTTCATGGATCGTTTCAACTTCTTGATATTATCTCTCTGCCTTTACCAGCAAAATCACTTGCATCAGAGCCACAGTGTAGTCATTTAACAAAAAATTTGCATTTTTTTACATATTTGAATTACATTTTCTATCTATCTATCTATCTATCTATCTATCTATCTATCTATCTATCTATCTATCTATCTATCTATCTATCTATCTATCTATCTATCTATCTATCTATCTATCTATCTATCTATCTATCTATCTATCTGGTCACTTAGCAATTTGGCCTGGCAAGGACCCTTCTACCAGACACAGATGGATTTACCATTAGATAATGACAAATGGCAGGCGAAGCTGAGCTGATTTCAGCACTTACTGCTCCTTCGGGAGCCTGAACTCACCACACTGCAAACCACACTGACCACCCCCACCCAAGATCCTAATTGAACGAGTGGCTGTGCAGCCAATTGATTCAGCCTGACATGCAATTCTGGTCATTTCCAGTGGGTGATGTAGTGTGACCTGCGGGTCAAAATATGCTGCGATCTGGAACAGAAGGCACTGACATTAGTCTTGATTTGTTGGACTACTACTCTTTCAGAGGTGGACTCTGGTGAGTTCATGGGAGATAAAGGGAGAGACAAAAAAATGTATGAGTATATCTTTGATGTCCTGAAGACAAGTAAAGACATGAGTAGGAGTTTATTGGGCTGACTGATTTTGAAGATGTGATGAGATAATAAATGGTGCTCTGGTGGCAATAAAAAGTTTCTAGAAAAGTAATTTCAGTTTATTTTAACACAGTGTTTGTGAGGTTTAATATTTGTGAATCAGACTTTCAAGAAGCAGCGAGTCCACCACAATCTTCCCCAGAGGATAGCGGGGACCAATCAGCTGCCTGTCTGCATTGGCTGTCCAAAATTGGTGACAGTGGCAGTGACATGCTTATGAAAGTCATATGTTGCTTGGACTGATGCAGTGGCACACGAGCAAGTTGTGTGGTAGAGCACATAATATTTATGTTATATTTGTAAATGTTTTTATTGAAATTAAACCCCTGGATATATAATAAATATATATAGATATAATGACATTTTTAAGAAAGAGTGATTTTTAATTTGGATAATTATGGGGACTTGCGGTTTTTCTAAAAAGTGTTTCTGTACCTGATCTGTGGGTGCACTCTTAACCTGTAAAATCACAAAACACTCCATATGTAGTGTACATAGAAGGACTATTAAGAAGCAAGTCACACTTTGTTTCATCTCCTTCCTTATAAAAACCCAACCACTATTGAAGCAGCAGCTGTCTCTGACAGACCAGGCTGTCTGCATGTTTAAGGTTTGAGTATAGTTCTTTCTTTTTAATTAGGAAGAACATACATCTTTCATTCTGAAACACTGAGTCGAGACGTGCTTTGAAAAATGGAATGATGCAGTGTTTTGTCAAAGACGGAGGAAAGCCAGGGGGTGTTTTGTGTGTGTGTGAGAGTGTGTGTGTGTGTGTGAGGTACATTATTGATGTTGTTGATAATAACAACTATGATAAGGATTACAACGGCAAAGCCCGTATCCATCATCACTATCTGTGGGCATAATTTGTCATTCTCAGTGAAGTTTCAGCAGGGAAGAGAGAGAGCATTGGATAGTTCTTCCTCGAAGTACGGTGCTGCACTTCATTATCTTTTACAGTATCTACCTAAATTACCAGGTTACCTGCAGAGCCTTGAGCAGTTTTGTCATATTCATTTATTTTGGTCATTAGATTTTCATGTATGTAATAATAAAACTTTGAGCTGTAGTCTGGAGACTTGAACTGAAGTTAACAAATAATATAAGTCTAATATTTTCCTTCATGTCAACAAATCCTGCAATGAATTGATATAACAAGATGTCCAAGTAGCCTTTCGATATACTGTAGCTTATTCCTGTGCCGTAGACCTCCATTGTTGCTCAAAAATTGTTGAAATCACTGTACTACACTGTCACACTGACTGGCATATTTCCTCATTTCGATAACCATGGGCACTGTAGTTTTGCTTGAATCTCACACACACTGTCCTACTGCCTTAAATATTTGCTAGAGCACCGAACCTTTGCTGGGAAGTAGTCCCCAATAAATGTATTATTTACTTTAACATTTGGAAGAAAACAATGGTTGGCAGCTGTTTCAGAACATACATATTAGTAATCTGTTTCACATGCATCATAGGCAGGCTGAGTATGTGGTATGGAGAGACAGACTGATACATTTTTGGTTTTTGTCAGGCAAGCCTTGCATAGCCATATTCCTTGAATTTATAATTATTGGACATGTTAGCGCATGACGAAGACTGTGTTAACGAATCAAAACCTGTGGCTTGTTTCAGATTTCCCCTCTAGGACCCCAGACTGACTTGAGAAAGCTCTCATGAGACTTCTATTCCACCCTGACTAGGACCCCAGACTGACTTGAGAAAGCTCTCATGAGACTTCTATTCCACCCTGACCGGCTAATTCATAAGCAACTGTCATTCATTTTAAGCATATTCAATGTAATTATATTCTATTCTTCATCAGAAGTGAATCAGATGGGTAAATATGTTTGCAGTGTTTTTACACCTAGTAGCTGCTTCTCATCTGGGTGTAATGCAACTGTAATGTGAAAACCATACTCACTGGCAATGCATCATAAATGAGACAGAGACTACAAAACCCTTATCTTTAAGTAAAGGTTGGGGTCATGATAAGCCCACACAATAATGTTCCTGTGGCTCAAACACACGCTTATTTGCACTCACATTTCCTGCACTGCACTAATGGATGGTGGACGAGATGGCGAGCTTTATCTCCGTTTGCTTTTGTCCCCCATAATTTATTCAGCAGGGTCTGTCCTCTATGTTGTGTGTACGTGTCTTTGTGTGTGTAGGCTATGTGCGTGTGTGTGACTGTGTGTTTGTGAAGCATTATGGCTTTGACTGTCCTCTTGTCCCTGGGGAATGAGCTCTACCGACTTACAGTACAGTAGCATACACTAATGCTCCTCCTGTTGGATAGAGGTTCTCAAAGGCCCCAAAATATCAGCATCAGCAGAGAGTGTTGAGGAAGCGGTTGAAAGGAAAACTAACAAGATGACTCAATGATTATTTAGAAACAGTAAAGAGAATTTTGAATTAGATGTATTCTGTCCTGGGGGTTTAAAAAATTGCATTTTTTGTAGTTGAGTAGATACATCATAATCTTTCCAAAACACTGAATTATTCATGGTTTGTATTCCATGGAGCCCATGAAATGGAGTGGCCACAAACTGTATCACTGTATATCCGCTTTCTGTTTTAAGGTATTCTTACAGTATGCCTCTTGTATTTTCAGGGACAGCGTTTGAGTGGATTGGAAGTTAACATGAGGATGACCAGAACCCCTTGGAACTGTGATTGAACTGGCAAGTAAGAACTGAATTTAACAGAAGCATAACATTACAGCAGGACATGTGCAGGGTTTACACTTTTTCATGTTTGTTTTTTTAATGTCAGAATCTCAGAAGCTCAATCTAAACCATAATTATGTGACATGAGATAAAAATAAGATTATTTCATACCTTTTACCAAATCGTATTCAGCCACTTTAGAAACAGCTACAGAGAAAGAAAGTAACTAATTCAGTGTGGATACAACTGGCTTTTTTCATTCTGTGTATTACCTTCAGCCATAATAAATCATCCTTATTATCTCAGCAAACTACTACTGGTACAATTCTTTAAGTGTGGAAACACAGCACAGTCCAAAGGTGTCTAATTCTAGTGGATTGGAAACTATAAATCACCTGGGTATTTCTCTGCCTTCTGCCCCATGTATGCTGGGATTATCCTCCAGCCTCCTGTGATCATGAGAGGGTTTTATGACGGTGTGGAATGACATGCACACTATTTCTATTTCTTTTTCCAATTTGTTTTAGCAATTTCATGACTGAACCATTGAATACTTTCCAAGTTACGTTATGTGCCATTTAAATCAAGGATGTTGGTAATGTACTATATTCTTTCAGGATTACCTTGCATGTCTGTGTTATTGAAATGTTGTGTTTAGTCCATAGAGACAGAATAATTTGTTGAGAGTGTTTAGTAGCTTGTCCATGGGAATAATCATTTTGGAAAGGGGGGACATTATGAGGGAACAATATTTGCACCGTAGGGTGCACCAGGTCCTTTAGCTTCTTTCTTTGGCTGTTTTACGATCATGCAGAGCAATCATTGAACACAATGGCTCCCACAAGATGGCTAACCATACCATCACACATCCATAATCATGATTAACAGTTGGAAATGGCATTGTGAGTATATTTTGGGCATCCTTTGACTTTTCCCAGATGTATTGTATCCATCTAGCTGACAACTATCGAGTCGAGCATAAAGCCCATAAACCTCCAGATGTAGTTTTGACAATACTGAGTGCAATCGAATAAGGCACAGAAATACACACTGCAATTTAAAAACAAGAAATTGATTGCTGTTATTCCTTGCTTGAGAAACATGCAATTATGAATGAATATCAGCTCTGTTACTGAAGGATTAAGTGAAATTATTTAATGTACTTTTTTTAATGTAAAGAAAAACATAGAGAGAGAGATTCATCATTCATTCATAGATTCATATACTGCAGTCTTTACTCAATCACCACATGACACTAAGTGAGAAATGTCAAGGCTTCTTGGACGCATGAGTAAGTCTGTGGAGAAAGTAGAAAGAAATTACAATATAAAGTCGCTGAAGTGGAAAAATAAGATGAACTTTATGACTCTCAGCAGTGTTTTTATGCTGGTACCTCTGCTCACAATGTAGGAAGTCTATTTTCACAAGACATTTCACCTTTGTGTCAGGCACGTTTTTTCTCAAAGAGGGCTGCTGGACTGCTCACAGAAATGCGCCTCTGGTGTGAACAGCCCTGCTGCAACTCATGCATGTAACTTCCACTACACGTCTGCTCTACTTTTGGTGTGAACTACTGTCGCAGTGTCAGGGAGCTTTTACTTGCGACCTCTGTTCCTCTAGGCTGATGATGCTGTTTGTCTGTGTTGGCCATATGTTGTCATCATTTTTGCTTCTATTATCCCTGCCACAGTAAATCACTCTGGAGTTTTTACGGCAGATGCAGCAGCAAATGAGGTACTGACTATCTGGCCTCTTTAAAACTAGTTAGTTTCATCGTTTTCCTGTGGAAACTGGCACATAAAAGTGGTGATTGTCAGACCTCTTCAAATGCTAAATAGCGTTCAACTTCTTTGAAATGACCCGCGTGAATAGTTGCTTTTGTGATTCACTTAGTTCAAAGCTCCTTTTCATGTGGTAGTTCTCTTATTTTATCCACTCTTTATATTCGTCCCAGTGGGACGGGAGATTGGGTTCCTGCATGGAAATTATATTGCATTTGTGCAATGGAATCAATTCACATGTTTTTATTTCCTCTGAAATGTAGCCTCTTCCTTTGGCAACATGTTTCAGAAAAACAGCTGGTGACACACATGTTCCCAAGTGTGTGTATTCATATGTGGTAGTGTGATATTGAAAGAAAAACATCATAATTAGTCTTACTTTATCATAGGACTATAAAATATAAAAACTATAACTTTTCAATACGCCTCCTCACAGAGGCCCTCTGTGTTTTCTCAGTCTGAGCTTCATTGTTGTTTGCTTTAATCTCGGCAGGTAGTTAGATAAGATGAGCCTCACTCTCCCTTCTCACTATTACTTCTGTGAATTTGCCATTGAAATGTAAAGAAAGGTAAAGAGAAGAGAGAAGGCCAGACAGAGACTAGAGACTATACTAGTAGAAGTGACTAATAATGATGATGACGACAACAACGTCAATTGCGACAATGATGGGGAATGGTGAATGAACAGTGATGATGATAATAATATGACTATGAGTGGAGGTCTAGCAGAATGTAGGAATGTCTTAAGCCTACTCTTAAATGTGGAGAGGGTGTCTGCCTCCCGAACCCAAACTGGAAGCTGGTTCCACAATAGAGGAGCTTGGTAGCTGAAGGCTCTGGCTCCCGTTCTACTTTTTGAGACTATAGGAACCACAAGCAGCCCTGCATTCAGAGAGCACAGTGTTCTAGTGGGGTAATAGGGTACTATGAGCTCTTTAAGATATGAAGGGGCCCATGAAGAGCTTTGTAGGTGAGGAATTTTACAGGGGAGCCAGTGCAGAGAAACTAATACAGGAGGAATATGATCTCTTTTCCTTGTTGCTGTTAGTACTCTTGCCGCAGCATTCTGAATCAATTATAGTGTCTTAAAGGACTTATTGGAGCAGCCTGATAATACGCATTTGCAGTAATGCAGCCGAGAAGTAACAAATGCATGGACTAGCTTTTATGCATCATTCTGTGACAGGATGAGTTGGATTTTTGTAATGTTACATAAGTGAAAAAAGGCAGTCCCAGAAGTTTGCTTTATATGGGAGGTAAAGGACATAACCTGATCAAAGATAACACCAAGATTCCTTACGGTGGTGCTGGAGGCCAAGGTAATGCCACCTAGAGTAACAATATCTTTGGATAATCAGTTTCTGAGGTGTTTGGGGCCAAGTACAAGAACTTCAGATTTGTCTGAGTGTAACATCAGAAAATAGTAGGTCATCCAGGTTTTTATGTCCTTTAGGCTGTCATTGTCAACATCCATATCACTATTAAAATCAGCTACAATAGTTACTTTTTCTGTTTTAAAAACTAAACTTCAGAGAGAAAATCAGAGTACGAGCCAGAAGCGCTGTAACAAATAGGATTGGCTGCAGTGTTTTCCAGGTGGGGTGTGAAAGACGAAGAACAAGGCTTTCAAAGTTATAACTTGTGGTAAAGGGTTAATTAATAGGCTTGAATGTAGATCTATAAATTGATATATAGGTATATATAGGTAGCTATTTATTGGCACTTTTAGTGACACACACACACACACACACACACACACACACACACACACAAGCAAACACACACATCACACACCTCCAAGCCTAAAATGCCAAAGTTGAAAATCAATTTTTATGTATTTTCTATATAAATTATTCAATAATAATTAAATAATAATTTCCCTTCTCAAGTTGCCATTTATATTCAGATAAATCAAGATGAATGATGAGGTTGATGGAATTTCCTCAATTTGTTGTAAAAAATTATTTATTGTAATGACGTGTTTCCAAACCACCAGAGGTCCCCCCACTCTCAATTTTACCGTTATAAGCTGCATCCAACACATTTTATGTGACATTTGTCTATACTTATTGCTTTTCTTACTGTCAACAGCTAACCTTCTCTTAGCAGACCCGCTGTAGAATCGACCTTCAGTCCAACTGATGTTACTGACACATCCATCAAGGAGACATTACAAGCATGTGTCCTTGAAGATGTCAACACTGAACAGATGTTAAAATCAGTCATATAATTTCAGAGAACAGAACTGTAGTGTTTGTCCAGACATCCAACTATGTTCTTTTAACTCATTGACTCATTGCAGAGATATAATTCTGCTCTATGTCTTACCGTAAAACCACAACAGTTATTGATTTTGTTAATCAATCATTAGGGTCCTGCTGGACTGTACCAGTCCAAAGGGATTATAAGAGTGCAAGAATTAAACTCAAAGCCTGATGAATTAATTCACACATTCAATCTTAACAGACTCTTAATTTTGCCTCTGGTTTCGCATCTGGTTTGTAGATATAATCAGTGTGCTTCCTCTTATCTCACATGTTCTCTCAAGCCCAAACTCAATCACAGGGAGACAGTGGATGCCTGGATGTCCGGGTTCACAGCCTCAGGATGACCTCTGCATGGCTCGGTCAAACACAAAGTGATGCATGCTCACCCTGACCTCGACCAGACACCGGAGTGACAGCAGTATTACAGACAGACTCCTTCATCCTACATCCTTGGAAAGTAGTTAGGAGCCATTTTATGCCCACAGCCTCTTTCCAAAATGTTCACAGGGTGAAAAATGATTTTATCAATACCTCTTGTCACCCACAAGCCCCCACCGCCAACACGCAGCTCGCTGTGAAACAGGAAGGCTGTCACAAACTCAGCTTGTGAAAATCTGCACATGCTAAAAGCACACACCACTGACACACTCTCACATATACACACCTTCTGTTGAAAATCTGTGCAGTATTCTTTTTCAGGAATAGCAAGGAAGTGAAACAATTGTGCTAGAAGGATTAGTTTAAATCACAATGATTAGTTAGATATTATTAGTTAGTGCAAATGGGTGACCATTTGCATTGCAGCTCATGCTGATGCACATCCATGTATGTATCCTTCCATGTGTTTTCAAGCTCCTGGTTGGGCACTTCTGTCCGAAGAGGCAAATTGAAATTACTTTGGCTCATTTATCAGGAAAATGTGCCTCTCCCGGGGTCATCCTCTGACTGAGGAGGAGGCCAATTGCTCTGTC